CTGCGAGGGGAAGCGGGGCAGTGAGAAATGCTGGCAAAGGGCGAAGCGGGGGGGGCCGGGAGGAGCGCGGGAGGCTAGCTGGGGGCGTTCGGTAGCGTGGCAGAGAGTTGTTCGATGCCACAGGTAGCGCAATCGGAGCATTACTAGAACCGTAGCTAATGCAACCGTTACTCTAAAAGTGGTAGTTAACTAAATCCTGTTGTCACTTTTTCCATTAGCTGTATCGGTACTTTTCTGTTAGTTTGTAATTTAGAACATCACGTTCTACAGAAGAAAAGGATTCCGAATCAAAATCTTGTGCATTGTAGAGCAATAATATTGCCTGTGCTCCCGCAGAGGACCTAGATTCTAGAAATCTGTCTGCCTCAACCGCAGAATCTGGTTTGTACAGATCTGTGCTGGAACTTGTTTCTTTAAACCACTTTTGGCAACTGACTTTGCCATGGAGTGGTTTTGTAAAGTCCAGTTTTCTGAGTAAGAATTTATAGGTTTTTTTCAGAACAGCTCTGCCACGTGAGGGTGAGTAAATAATAAACTGGCTCAGATTAAAGGTTCATGTAATCCAGTATCCAGGCTCAACTGCGATCAATAACGAGTGTCAAGGGAATGGTACAAGGCAGAACAGTTGTTTGTAGCGTCTAAACATTTAACCTCAGTATTGTACCTTAATATGACATTTAATAAATCTATGTGGGGATAGCAGAAGTCTCCCTTTACTTTTTTTTTTCAATCCTGTGTTCTTCCAATATATGACCAGCATTTCAGTTCATAAGTATTCTATAAATTGATAGTTAACTTACTTGACTAACTTGACGATAAACTGTTATGTAGCACCACTTCTTTAACAGTGTCATCTTCTTTGTCTGTCCTTTATAATTTGTACCTTGTATGAGTGTCTCATTGATCATTGGTGTTCCCCAAGCGTGGTGTCACTTCCTACAACGTTTCTGATCTTTAGTTAGGTCAGTACCCTAATTTCACTATCCAGCTTACCCCACTTTATTCCTCAAAGTTCTCAGGTTTGCTTAGAAGCACATTTACATTTGGCTTGTTATTTTTATCTTCCTGTGTCATACACGAGTGAGAGTCTTTGCTGATTCTTACGTAAACTTAGCCAACTGATCTTGTTAATGGGCATTAGTTGCTTTAGTAGATCCTTTAGTGCAGGAGAGATGGGAGAATGGCTTTGTAACTGTAGACACATACAAAATGTTAGATTCCTCCTGTACGGTGGGACTGCTCTCATAGTTGAATACGTCTGTTACCAAGATTGGGGTTGAAGACTGGAGGAAATTTTGTCTGAAATATCTGAATTGAGCTAAGTGAAATATTTCTCTTTTATATCACACATTGAGGAAAGCTGTGGGTACATTATTACTACGAAATACTTGAAAGTGTGGGGAATGCTGGACAGTTGCAGTGGTAAACTCGTGTATACGTATCGACTGCCAGCTTCTTGTTGTTGCACAATAAAGGCAATGACTTATGCAAGAAGTATGTGATCTTGTTTCTCATCACATCTCCCTTTCTTGCCCTTGTCTTTATGACCACAGACACCGTTACCTTTTATCTTGGTCTTTTAATAAAGATAAGCTTGGTAACCTTGTACTGATGGGAAATTACCAAACAGCTCTGTCTTCACAAGGAGATGGACCTAAAGATCAGGCTGGGAATTAAGCTACAAGAAATGTTAATGTCAAGGGAAAAATTACTTGTCTTTCATTTGTACAGTCATCATAAAACGTGACTCGAATATATTTACTTCCATATTGTAAATGGTGATAAAATTCACCTCTAAATTTTATGATTTAGGCTTTCTTAGAGCTTTTTATCAGCCGATATCAGGAATGGCAAATAGGTTATCACCTCATTTTACAGGATGTGACATACAAAAATGTCAGCGAAATTCCAGGGGGGCTGTCAGCAATACCGTGTGCTACAGCCGCAATACTGCGCTAGGCCTGGAGAACATGTGAGGGCACTGGGTGAATGAATTGCTGCATTCCTGTAGTGTGTGGATGTTTCCTTAATCTCAGGATGGACCGGGCTGTAGGAAATGGCGGGGTGTCCAAGGCGCGTTTGGCAAAGAGGTACCAAAGCTGTTCACTTGCAGCACTGAGGAAGATACCTCTTTCTGCCTTGATGTATTTCCATAATGTGATTAAAATATTAAACTGCTCTAGATGGGGGCTGACATATTTTTCGGAGATTACGTGGCAGCAACTGAGCTTGGATCTCAGGCCCTGTGCAGTAGGGCTGTGGAAATGAGAGAATGTAGAGCAAAAATCAATAATCATGAGGATATGATAATAACACAAGCAGTGCCTCTTACGCAGTTAGCGGTGGTGATTGCTACCTCTTGTGATATATCATGTAAAAGGGCTCTTAAAAAAAAAAAACACTCAGCTGTCCAGAGTTGTTCTTTGACATTCACAAAAAAGCAGAATCCTTCACCTTGACTATCAGTTCTGCCAAGTGCCTGTTCATTTTGGGAGCAACTTCAGAATTTGCTCTTTGGAAAGTGGAAAAAAAAAATTGGCCATTTGATAAACCAGCAAGAAGACTCTCTGATGTTACCTATCCCTTCTTGGCTGCATCTTTTATTCTCTGTGTCCAGCCGGGGGCTGTGCTGAACAAATAACACGGGTCTGAAAAAGAGGGAGGAGAAGTTTTGTTCATTTTTCTCCTGTATGTGACCATTGTGACTTCTGCTGTTATTCTACCATTTTAGATGTATAATAATGTGATTATACACATTATAATACATTTAGATGTATAACAATATAAATGTGATGGCTGTAAAGAAGAGCTAATAACAAAGTGCGGGCAGGGGTGTAAGTAGCACATCCTTTTGGTTTGCAAACATTTGTAGTTAAAATGTAGCAGCAAGTGGAAGCTGAAGCTGCGGAAGGGCAAGAATAGGCCTGTCGGGGATCCTGCGTTTCCAGCAGTCAGGCGTGCAACCCTTCATTTGCCTTCACTTTCCTCAGTGAGACTACGGGGTGAGTGAGGTCACACGCCCGCGTTACCGCAGGTTTTAACCTCAAGCTCTCGGGAGGGGCAGATGGTGCGCTTGCCTGCTGGAGATGTGAACTTCTCGGTGGGGCAGGAGGGAGAGCAGCGAGATGGGGGTTTGGATCTGTTCCATCCTTACCCTTGGGGGAGGTGGGGGGGGTGCACGGGGGCAGTTACACCTTTCCTGCACCCTGGTCAGACCGCGGGGCTATTCTTGTTACTTCAGCGATCCTCTGCTAGAGAAAACCGCCCTTAATAAGCACAAACAAGGGGAAGGACCTTCCCTCTCGCCCCTCCAGGGCGGGGAGAGCCCCTCTGCTGGGAGGGAGCCTGAAAAAGAGCCGGACTCTTGCCCGGCCGGGGGTCCCGTCCCCGCGGGAGTGGGATGCCGCCGGGAGGGAGG